GCGCGCGCGTCGGCGGTCGGCGGTCGCGTCGTCGTCGTCGTGCGTCGTCGTCGTCGTCGTCGTCGTCGTCGTCGTGGGGGGGNGNGNGNGGGGGGGGGGGCGTGCTTCGATTTTCCTGTTGGATTTGGCGGCATTCGACGCGGGCCCTCGTCTGTCTGTCTGTCTGTCCGTCTGTCCGTCTTTCAGAGGACGGCTGCCGCTGCGCCCCCTCGCCCTCTCGCTGCGCCCCCTTGCCCTCTCCCGCCTGGGTCGCTTTCCCGGAAGGTTGACCTGCCTGCTCGTGGGGCGTTGCACCCGCCATCCTAGCCTCCCCTCGGGCCCTCGCCCTTGCCAGGAGGCCCTTGCGAGGCGACGGGCTCCACCGAGCTCTCCACTCGACGCCCTGGTTTCTTCCCGAGCTCGATTCTCGGCCTTCGTCTGTTACCTCCAGCACCACCTCTCTTCCACAGACCCCGTCTGCCCACCTGCCTCCAGCACCTCGTCGTTGCTGCGCCATCCTCACTCTCTACACGGGGCTGCCTGGCTCAGCTCAGCTCAGCCACCATCGCACATCGTCACTCCACCAGCCAGCATCGCTCCCTCGCCGTCCCTGCCCGCTTGCGATTCCTCCACCGCTCCCCAAGCGCAGTCCCACAGCCTTCTTATACGGCGGCCCGGCGCTCGTCATCCCCCCTTTGTCGGCAGCGCAGCTCCTGCTTGCCTTTGACGACGCGGATAGACCCAGGCCGAGGAACTCTGCTGTGACTGTCGCTGCAAACGGCCAAGCTGGCCTGCGAGACGAGCGCTCGTCGCGGCGACTTTTGTTCCGGCAGAGGCCCGCTCAGCTCGCCCACCCTCGACTGAGCCGCCGCGATGAAGTTCGGAAAGCACATCCTCAGCCAGCAGATCTCTGGCTGGGGCGCCTTCTACCTCGACTACAAGTTCCTCAAAAAGGTGAGGCCGCCGCCGAGGCGCGCCGGTGATGGTTGCGACAATGAGCTGGACGATATCCCCCGCTGACCACCGCTGCCCGCCCGCCGCCGCGATTGCGCACAGATCATCAACTCGCTCGAAAAGGGACGCCTCGCCGATGCCGCCCTCTTTGCCACGGGAGTGCGGCCCGACTACGGCGCCAACGGCGAGCGCGCCGACTCGCCCGCCCAGCCGCAGCTGCTGCCCAAGATCGAGGGTTCCGATGAGCTGCAGATCCACAAGGCCGCCTTCTTCTTCAAGCTGGAGCGCGAGCTCGAGAAGATCAACACCTTCTACCTCCAAAAGGAGGCCGAGCTCAAGTCGCGCCTCAAGACGCTCATCGACAAGAAGCGCCTCATCTTCCAGGCGCGCAACTCGGCCAAGCTCTCCAAGGACTCGCCCTCGTACGTGGCGCTCTACGAGGGCTTCCGCTACTTTGAAAAGGACCTCAGCAAGCTGCAGCAGTTCATCGAGATCAACGCCACGGGTTTCCGCAAGATCCTCAAGAAGTGGGATAAGCGCTCCAAGTCGCAGACCAAGGAGCTCTACCTGGCGCGGCAGGTCGAGGTGCAGCCCTGCTTCAACCGCGAGTTCATCGCCGAGCTGAGCGACATCGCCGCCGCCAACCTCCTCGAGCTCGAGAACCTCTCGCACGGGCGCGGCTGGGCCGACGCCACGAGCCCGGCCAGCGGTGACCTGAGCGCCGACAAGAAGCTCGACTTTGCCGCGGCCCAGAGCCAGGACTTTGACGCCCTCGCCGAGCTCGAGGCCAACCTGGCCGAGGCCATCAAGGCCGGCCGGGTCGGGCCCGCCGCCGAGATGGTCCGCATCGCCGCCCAGAACGAGGACGCGACCAGCGTCTCGCGCATCGTCTGGCGGGCGCTGCTCGAGTCGCCGCCGCCCGCCGTCGAGGCGGCGCTCGCCCAGGGCCTCGCCGACTATGGCTTCGTCGACGACATCAGCTCCCGCACCTGCCTGCACGAGGCCGCGCTGGCGGGCAAGCTCCAGCTGGTCAGGGCCTGCGTCGACAACGGCGTCGATGTGGCGAGACAGGACATCTACGGCCGCACCGCCCTCTCGTACGCGGCAATGACCGGCCACACCGACGTCTGCGCCCACCTGCTGTCGCTGCCCTCGGTGACGGCGGCCACCTACGACCTCGACGGCTTCTCGCCGCTGGTGCTGGCCGTGATGAATGGCAAGACCGAAGCCGTCCGGATCCTGCTCGACCACGGCGCCAGCGTCGAGCCACGCGACACGACCGACCTGATCCCGCTCTGCCTCGCATGCTCCGGCGGCCACGCCGACATCACCCGCCTTCTGCTGCAAAAGGGCGCCAGGATCGCGTCCAACGCCGAGGGCCTCTATCCACAGGCGCTCGCCGCCCGGGCGGGCCACACGGCCTGCCTCCGGCTGCTCGTCGAGTCCGGGGCGGACCTGGATGCGCCGGAAAAGGGCACGCAGTGGACGCCCGTCTTCTTTGCCGCCGAGAACGGCCACGTCGAGTGCCTCGAGGTGCTCATCGATGCCGGCTGCCGTGTCGGCCTGGTCGATGAGAAGGACAGGAGTGCCGCCTTCTACGCCGCCTGGAACGGCAAGATCGCATGCCTGCTGCTATTGCTCGACGCGGCGCAGAGGGCAGGACCCGACGAGGCCGCCGCGGACGAGGCGGCCAAGGCGGCCAAGGCGGCGGCCAAGGGTGTGGCCGCCAAGTCCAGGGCCAACAGCGCCGACGAGCCCATGGACGAGCTCGACCTCGACGGCGAGATGGACGGCATCCCCTCGCTCTCGCTGCCCCCGCCCATCATCCCGTTCCGCACCTACGGCCACAACTACCTGGACAAGCGCATCCTGGTTTCGATCTCGCTGTCGAACAACTCGGTGCGCCTCTACAAGCAGCAGGACCCGAACCGGCCCGAGCAGTTTTCGACGTCGTCGCTGAAGCTGGTCATGACGTCGCGGCCGGGCGAGTCGAACTCGGCCATCCCGCACAATGTGGTGCTGCCGCTCGCCGACGAGCGCGAGGTGTTCTCGTTCCAGGTCGACAGCCTCGAGACGTTTTCGGTCGAGTGGGAGCTCATGCCGACGTTTGGGTCCAAGGTGATTGGCAAGGCCGTGGCGCTGCCGAGCTCGTTTGAGGGCATGACGGACCGCAAGCGGTTCGTGCTGCCGCTGCAGGACGTCTACCTCAAGGTGGTCGGCGAGGTCTCGTTCGAGCTCGACTTTGTCAAGCCCTTTGACAGCGTCCAGCTCGAGATTGGCGGGCGTGTCGAGACATACTGGAAGAGCATGCTGCCGAGCACGTCGTCGGGCGGCGCGGCCGCCGGCGTCGGCGTCGGCCCGACGCGGATGACGCCCAACAGCGGCGTCGGCGCATCGTCGATCCTGGGCCAGCACTTTGCCGCCTCGACGCCCGGCGAGTCGGCCAACGCCGCCGCGGCCTCCCAGCTTGCGACGCCGATCCTGGCCGCACCTGCGCAACCCACGCTCGTCACCGGCTCGTCGATATCGGGCGAGTACCTGCGCGTTGTGGTGCAGGTCACGAGGGACGGCGTCGCTGTCGCCTGGCCGCACAGCTTCCTGCCGCTCAAAGGGCTCGAGGTCTACGTCGGCAGCGTCACTGCTGCCGAGTTTGTGTCGCTCGCCCAGTCCACCGGCACGCTGCTCGACTGGGACGCTGCGCAGGGCGAGCGCGCGTCGTGGGACGACTGGAAGACGGCGCTCAAGGGCCGCGTGGCGCCGCTCGAGAAGCTGTTCGAGGTGAGTCGCGCCGCCGCCGCCGCCGCCGCCTAGGTTGAATTCGCTGGGGCTTCTTCAACTGACTGCGACGCTCGACGTGCCCCCCCTTCTTCCCACTGTCCTTTCAGATCCTGCCCGTCTCGATCGGTGTCGACATCGAGGTCATGTACCCATCCACGGCCGAGGTCCGGCAGAAGCCGGGGATGCCCAAGATGGAGGTCAACGCCTTTGTCGACACGATCCTGCACACCGTCTACGCCGCCGCCACGACCAACAAGGAGCAGAGCCGCAAGATCCTCTTTTCAAGCACGAGTCCGACGGTGTGCACCGCGCTCAACTGGAAGCAGCCCAACTGTGAGTCCGCGCTGGGGTCCACCACCTCTTTCCCGCCCGCTTTAGCCTCGGCCAGCCTCGAGACGCTGACCCTCTGCCTGATCTGTCCTGATCTGCCCCAACACAGACCCGGTCTTTTTCGGCTCGCACTGCGGCATCTCGGGCGAGGCGAGCCTGCGCGGGCAGCTGGAGCCGACGGCGCGGCAGGAGACGGACCCGCGCCGCGAGAGCATCAGCGAGGCGGTGCGCTTCGCCAAGTCCAACAACCTGCTGGGTATCATGGTCGAGGTGGCGCTGCTCGACCACGTCCCCAACCTCGTCCACAGCGTCAAGGCCGCAGGGCTGCTCCTCATCACCACGGGCAAGAAGCGCGCGAGACAGGCCACCGCGGCGTCGGTCGAGATGCTCGACGAGGACAAGGCCGGCGTCGCAGAGGTCGACGGCGAGGTCGTCGATGGTGTCGTCGTCTGCACCAGTTGAGGTAGGGACCGGCCCCGAGGAACGACGGAGAGAGATGGACCGTTAGAGAGACAGAGGGACGGGTATATAGAGAGGAGCGGGTGTAGGTTCCGTTGTCGTGTTTACAAGGCTGATGCTACAGCCTGGCTCCGTGTAATTCTATGGCTTTCGTTACGGGCAAGTGGGCAAGTGGGCAGGCGGGCAGGCGGGCAAGTCTGGGCTTCATCGTCTATTTCGTCGACGCAGGCGAGGCAATGAGAAGGGGGGATGGGGGGGGGGGGATGCGAGGCAGGGGGGTATCTACAATTTGCCTTTGGCCACGGCGCTCCGGCCTGCACTGACGGAGCCGGGTACGGACGACGACGACGCCGACGACGACGAAGACTCCCAGCTCTTCTGCAACGTCGTTTCGGCGCGGAGGTCGTGGTCGCGGATACCGCCTGCGGCCGCCGTACCTTGGCGCGAGAGGTCGAGGCGGGACTGGAGCCAGGTTACGATGATGTCGACGAGCTCGTCGTAGTGTCCCTTGAAGTTGTGGTTTGCGTCGTCGATGAGGCGCAGCGAGGCCGAGCCGGGACGACGGTGCGGACCCGTCAGGGCGTTGATGTAGTAGGCCGAGTCCGACACGGGCACCGTCTCGTCTGCCGTTCCCGAGACGAGCAGGCTACAAGGGATCAAGGGTGGCGCCGTCGAGACGGGTCGAGTGAGGTGGGTAAGCAGAGAGATAGGGACGAGGACGTCAGCGCGTCATCAGAGGCGAGGGAACCGGCCACCGCAACGCAGCGCAATGCTACGCACACATCCGTCTTCGTCGGGAATTCGGCCACGTATTTCTCAATGGGCCACACGGCAAAGTCCTCGACGTCCTTTGGGTAGATGTGCACCTCGCGCTTCTGGCCCGCCACCTTGACCTTCCAGCGGTAGAAGCCCTCGGCGGCAAAGGCGGGCTGGTAGAGCGGGTCGCGGTCTGCGGGGGTCCAAAGGGATGGCAAGCCGCAAGGGAGCGAGCGTCAGAGCGTGTCCGGGGCCAGGTTGGGAATAGAGGCGGAAGCGCTCACCGTGGATTTTCTGCAGCGACGCGGCGAGGCAAGGGGGCCAAAGATGAGATGGGTCCGTCAGCCTCGTGTCGCCGTCTGTAGCAAGGGCGGGGGCAAGTGCGTCTGGCCACGGCGCGGGCGCTTCTCACCTTCATCCTCCAACGAGCACCGAGGGCGACGTAGTAGGGCACCCTCTTTCTGGGTTCGACCGCGTCGTTGCACTGCGTCGCGAGGAACTTGAAGCCGTCGAGTGCGCCCCTGCTGTGCGCGATGATGACCTCGACCGTGTAGCCGAGGCGGTCGGTGAGGTAGTCGATGCAGGCGCGCATGTCCTGGAGGTCGAGGTCGAACGAGGCCATGTTCCAGGGCCCGGGCGTCTCTGCGTTTGCGCGGAAGTCGAAGCGGAACGAGTCGATGGGCAGCGAGGCGGCGAGGAGGCGGTGGTAGGTCTGGTCCTTGTGCGCCAGCACGCCGTGGAGGATGAGGGCCACCTTCCTGCCCTCGGTCGTCGATCGCACCGGTGCGGGTTCCGAGGGGTAGTTGACGTTGACGCGCGGATCGACGATGGTGGCCTCTGCGGCGTGCTCGGGGTGCGGCGGCTGGTCGCGCTGCGCGAGGACACCGACAATGTTGATCGTGGTCCCGCCCAGGCTGAGCGGGATGTGCAGCTTGGTCTGCCTCATGGTCGCGGCGTGGCGTGGCGTGGCGTGGCGGACGCGGTCGAAGGAGCAGCGGAGAGCGTCAATTCTATTACGAAGGCAGGAGCGTGGCAGGTGGCGATTGCGGTGGTGGTGGCAGAGGTGTTGGTGTCGGTGGTGATGCTTGGCTGGGGGCCGGGGACGAGAGCGGCACTCCTGGGGTCAAAGTGCGGGGAAGCCGAGGAAGCTTTGGGGTCGACTTTGGCCGGGGTCCACTCGGCGCCTCTCCGGTCCAGGTTTGAGCCGGTCGGTGGCCTGGCCTGGCAGCGCGGTTGAGCCGCCCGATTAAATTAAAATCGGGAGGCAGAGCAATTCTGGGCAACAAGCTGGCAGCAAGGATCGGCGGGCGGACCCTAGCTTGCTTGCTGGCCGCCGCGAAATTTTTTGGCTTCCTGCAGGTGCCTGGCCTCGCCGCTGGCCCAGGGCGGCGCTGGGCGAATTTTTCCAACCTGGCTTGGTTGGCTGAGCCAGCCTCGAGACCAGGCCTCGCTCGCCCGCCACCCTCACCACCACCACCACCAACAGCACAGCACCACCTCCCGCGACCCAAAGCACACACCCATTCACACACGCTCACAGCTTCACACAGAGCTCCAAACACAGCTTCACACACAGACTCATACACGGCTTCGCGCGCGCGCACACACACACACACACACACACACACACACACATATTCTGCACCACCACCACAACCCTCCGCGACCATGGCCAAGGGACTGCGCTCCAGCGCCAAGCTGGCCCACCGCAACGCCAAGCGGCGCGATGAAAAGTCCGACTACCGCGTCATCGAGGCGGCGCGGATGAACGCCATCACCAGCCGGCTCCAGGCCGGGCTGGCCAAGCCCAAGATGGAGGTGTACTCGGTCGCCGACATCGAGGCTGCCGCCGCGAAAAAGGCGGCCGGCGCAGACGAGACGGCGGCGGCGACGGCGGATGGAGAGATGCAGATCGACGAGACCGCACAAGGTTGGTATCTTGATCCTCTGTCCAGGCGGCATGCCGGGTTCGGACGGGGTGACTGCGGAGATGGCCAGGGAGGAGGGTTGCAGCAGGGGAAAGAGGAACTCGAGTGCTTCCTGCTGGGCCTCGTCGATCCAGACGGGATCCACGCCGAGGCACCCGAGTCGCGCAGCCGGGCAGTCGACCTGTCCTGGCTCCTCGGTGACGAGTCCGACGAGGCGGGGAGGACAGGGGGAACGGGTCATCGCACCTGCGACGCCACGTTGGATGCGGCAGCGCTTCCCCTCGTCTCGGCCGCCACACCAGCCGCAGCACCTTGATGCATCTTGCCCCGCTGACACACACACATACCCTCCCGCGCGCGGCTCTGCTTTGGCTCTGCTGCAGCACCCAAGAAGATTAGCACGTCGGGACCAAGAGAAAACGCACGGTCGCGCTGGAAGAAGGCGCGGGCGCCCAAGGGCGGCAAGTCCAAGAAGGGCGGCAAGAGGTGATGTGGCGCGGGGCGCTGCCACCCATCCCTCGCCGTGCCAGCCTGCCGAGCCACTCGGCAGACCAGCCTGCCAGCAAAGCAAGATAGAGCCAGCAAGGTCGCAAGCAACCCAGCAAGCAAGATGGCGAGCTGCAAGCCCCGCAAGGCAGCCAGCAAGATCGAGGCACCCGCGCCAGGCGCTCGCTGCCTGTGTCGCGACATTCTCCCGTCGTCTGGTGCCAATGCCTTTCGGCGCCCCGTCGGACCAAGTTCGCACGCTCGCCCGCATACGCTCTCCGCACACGCTCCCTCCGTCTCTGTTCATAACCGGTCCCAGCCCAGTCGATATCATGTACTATATTCCCGTCCCCCTCACACGTCTACAGAGACAAACGAGACGACATCCAAGGCTACCTCGCGCCTCACTCGCTATCATCGCTGATGGTGATAGCCGCGCTGACTCTCGGTCGGATCTTCTGCCTCATCGTCGTCGTCGTCGTCGTCGTCGGTGCGAGTGCGTATGCGGGTGCGGGTGGAGAGGAAAAGAGACGTCTAGCCGTTTGCCGGAAGTCCTTTGACCCGTCTTCGTCTTCGTCTCCGGATGCGCTTTCGCTATCGGTGTTGATGAGTGGATCGAGGAGCCTGGAAGATGGTTTGTCCAGTCTCGGTGCGCGGATCGGCATCGGTTCGGAGGCGCCGTTCGGTTTCGCCAGTGCGGCCGGAGGAGGCGAGGGAGGGGGAGGTCGAGTCCGTCTTGATTTCCTCGGACTCGGACTCGGTTTCGGTTTCGACGGTTTGCCCGTCTTCTGCCCCATACCTCCTCCCTCCACCACCGCCGCCGCCGCTGATGAGGATGAAGATAACGAAGAGGAGGAGGAGGAGGAGGAGGAGGAGGAGGAGGAGGAGGGACCGTATTCGCCTGCGCCCGTCCGTCGTTTTGAGGGTGACGTGTCGATGCCCCAGGTGGCGGTGCGTCCTACATCGTCGTCGTCTTGATCGCTCCATGATGATGCCGCGACGGCCGGGACCGGGGTGGGGATGAAGATGGGAGGGGCAGAGGGACGCTGTGTCATGCCGATGAATTCGATCGAATCCGTACTCGTATCCCCGACCGCGGGGACATCGACCGTCGGCGTAGGTCCGAACGACAAAGGCAAGGGCGGTGATGAGGGTGCGGGCGGGGAACGACGCGTCGAGCTTGATCCGACGGGGATGCCGCCTTCTCGACCCTGTAGCCGGTCCAGCTGTTGTAGCAATCCGATCCCCCTTGCCTGCTGCTGTTCCACCTTACCCCTCGAGGGCAACGACGACGTCGCGTCTTCCCCTCGCCGCTGCTGCAACGTGGCCTTGCCCTTGTTGGCCTTCATAAACTCTCGGATCGTCCGCTGCTGCCCCTGCCCCTGCCCCGGCACCTGCGGCTGCGACGACGGCGGCTGACCACGTCGCGATACCCGCCCCGGCTCGGCCATCGTATCGGCACCGGCCTTCGAGCGCGCCTTCGACCGCGCCTTTGCCGCCTTTTCCCGCTCCACCGCCGCCGTCTTGCGACGAAACTCGGCCAGAGCCGCCTGTCCGCTCCGCCCTCGTTCCAACAGGCTCTCGACGATCCAGAGCAGGAGCGGCTCGCGAGGATCCACCGGCTTCCTGGTCGGGCCCGTCTCGCCGTCGTGGTCTCTCTCATCGCCCTCTGCCTCGCTGCCTCGCTCGACGCCCTGCTCGTCGCTAGCTGGCACAGCGCCGCGTTCGCGCCCGACCGACTCGTCGATCCACTTTTCCGCCAGCTCGACCATGGGCGACACGTCGACGAGCGCGCGGCATTCGACGTGCTCGCCGAGCGCGACGTTGCGACGTCGTCGGCTGATCGAGACGATGTCGATGTCGCCGGGCTGCCGTGGCGGTGGAGCAGCGTCGGCGCTCGAGTCGTCCCGGCTCGACAGTCTCGTCGGCGGTGATGGGCCATCGCTGCACGCACCCCTGGCGATCCTGCCCGACGACGATGGCGACGACAGGCTCGCCTTTGCGAAAAAGTCGGTGATGCGCGTCGCCTGCGGGCTCTCGTGCAGCGGCTTGCTCCTCTTTGGAGCGGGGCTGACGGGACCCAGAACCCGACTTGCCGCTGTCGTCGCCGTGGCCGTGGCTGTGGCGGTGGCCATCGCTGTTTTCGCCTTGCCGCCGCTGCCAGCGCCACCGCCGCCGCTCTCCCGGACCGCCTGGCGGACCGCCTTGCTGGCGGGACTCTCTACCAGCTCGGCCCACGGGCCATGCTTGTCGTCGCCGTCACGCTCGAGCACCTCCTGCCTCAGCTGGCGAAACACGAGGCCGCTCCAGATCGTCGAGCGGAATCGGGCCAGCACCGTGGCTGGGCTCCACTCAAAGAAGCGCTGGGCGCACCGGACCAGGCTCTCGACGTTGGGCGCCTGCCACCGCAGCACCGGCAGCTCATCGGCGCCGTCGGCAGCCGGACCTGCACCCGCACCCACTGCGGCCGGTCTCGACGACGACGACGACGAGGACGACGACGACGACGACGAGGACGAAGCTTGGCGAGACGGAGTGGACCCAGTCGTGAGCGGCCAGACATAGTAGGCCAGCACACGGCGCAGCGTCTCGGTGCTCGCGAAATCGGTCAGGCCAGCGGCGAGCCGGGGCTGCCTCCTGCCGAGAAAGCCGCGCGAGTCGGTGCGGAGCTCGTCGCGCACCTCGCGGCACCACTCGGCCAGAAACGCCTCGAAGCGCTCGCACCGGGCCGACACGTCGAGGGAGCGGTAGCTGCGCCGGAATGCGGCGACCAGCCGGTCTCCGAAGCCGGCCTGGGCGAGGGCGAGGGCGATCTTGACGCCGCACCGCAGCAGGCCCTGCCCGTCGTAGTCGCCGCCCGCCAGCAGCGCGACGAGGATGAGGCCGTCGCGGCTGACGGAGAGCTCGGGCATGTTGTGGATGTCCCAGTCCTTGTACACAGTCACGACGTGGTCCTTGAGCGAGCCCGTGACCTTGAGCGTGTCGCTGCTGACCGCCGCTGCCTGCGACGAGCCGACTGGCTGGCCTGCGGTCGCAAAGGGGTTGTCTCCGTCGTCCGACGACAAAGAGCGGTCTGCGGTGCTCTCCTGCAGCTGCTGCGCGCGCTTGGCCCTGGCAATGGTTCCGGACAGCTTCTTTCCCCAGCTAGAGAAAGGAGGAATGGGGCGCGAGGCACGGATGTCAGTCAGGGCCACGATGACGGACCGCGAGCCCTGCCGGCTGGGCAGACGGCGGCGCGACTCACTTGCGTATCACGGTCTTTGCGCCAAAGACGAGGGCGTCTACGTCGTCGGTCATGACGGCATCGACGAGGTCCTGCTCGTTGAGCCAGGCGAGTTCGGCCTCTGCCTCGCCGGGGGCGACGCGGTGCTGGAAGCCAAAGGCATGGATGACGGTGATGAAGTCGCGCTCGATGGCCCTCTGCCGCCCCGCGACGTGTTTGCCGCGCTTCCAGGCGGGTCGGTTGGGTCCATCAAAGACAAAGAGGGGCAGGACGGGGAGGGAGAGGAGGCGTGCGAGGCGGAAAAAGAGGATGCGGAGGAAAGGGTTGGAGCCGCCGGTACTCTGCTGGCTGTGGAAGAGCCAGAGGGAGGCATCGATGCCGATGCGGAGGGAGCGGAGGTGGTTGCGGTTGGCCTGGAGAGCGTCGTAGGCCAGCTTCGGGAGGGGCACGTCGACGGCGGCGGGCTCGAGCTCTGCCCAGAGGCCCGGGATGCCCATGCTGGCAGGGTAAGCTGAGGGATAGAGATGGAAGCAGGCAGGCAGGCAAAGAGCAGCGCGTGGACCGAGGCGAGGTCAGTGTGGTATCATGGCGGGCGACTCGGGTTGTTGTTGTTGCGTGCCCGCAGTTGCTGGACGGTAGGTGAGCGGTGCGGTGGTCAGGATGGTGGTGGTGGCAGGCCAGGCCGCGCGCACTGGAAAGTGTTGGTCTGGCGCGCCCCCATCAAAATCAACACGGCCTGCCAGAGACCAGGCCAAGCCCGCACCGCCGCACCCAAAAATGGCCAAGTGGAGGCTCAGGCTCAGGCTCAGGCTCAGGCTCAGGCTCACAGACAGGTCGCGGCCGACTCCCCCTTCACGACGATGATGGCAACAACCACGACGACGACGGTGTGCTCTCCATCCATTGCAAGGGCAACCGCCACCGACACGGTGGCCATCGCAGGCGGACCCACCTACCACGTACCCCGCCCGCCGCCGCTCGTCAGCACCAGCTTCTTCTTGTTGTTCTTCTTCCTCGACGACGTCGACGACGACCCGCCACCCGCGCTCGCCGGCGTCTGCGCACCGGATGCCGTATCGCTCGGCGCTGCATCACCGTTGCCCGTCCCCGGTCTACCGCCTGCCCACACGCCCCTCGGCGTCGAACTGCCGCTCACCGTGCCCGGCCCCGCGACCGAAGCCTTCTTCGACGAGGCCGCCTGCCGGTTCAGACCCCTACCCTCCTTGACCGCACCGTTGGGCCTCCGCCCCGACGACGTCGAGCCCAGTATAAAGTCCTCCTCGAGCTCGTGCCACGCGTCCTCGATGTCGTCGTCCCATAGCCCCGACTCGTCGTGACCACCGCGCAGCGCACGGTCAAACGCATTGCGCGCCGCCGGCGTGCCCCACACCGTCTTTTTGGCGCCGCCCCCGCCGCCGCCGCTGATAGCACTGGCACCCGCCGTGGCGCCCGAGTGCGGCGAACGATCCGACCGCGGTGGCCGTGCGCTCGCGCCCAGCGAGTCCGGAAAGTCCTCGATCTGCGACGCTCCCGGGTGAATCGGAAAGTCGCGCTCGGCGCCCCACAGAGCCGCCTCGCGGAACGATGGCGAGGTGCCCACGTGCGGGCTCGTTGACAGCCCGGCAGCGCTGACTCCGTCTTCGTGCCCGCTCGCAAAGCTGCTGCTGCCGTAGCTCCTCGACAGGCCGTCCGAGGGGAAGTTGGCCTCGCTACCAAAGCCGGCCGCATCGATCCGATGCCTCTGGGCCGAAGCGCCGCCGGCGCCGCCGCTCGACGAGCCGCCGCCGAACCGCGAGCCGGACTCGGCCTCCTCGGCCTTGGTCTTGGCACGGTCCTCGCGGCGCTGCTTGTCCCGGCGCTTGGTCCTCCTCTGCCGCAGCGCCTGCTCATACGGCCGCAGCGTGGCCTTGCTCACCAGGTCCATGTTCTCCCAGTCGATCTCGACAAAAACGACGTCGGTCGCCATGGGGATGTGGCTCAGGTAGCGGCAGCGGCGCCGCAGCTCGTCGTTCATGCTCCCCTCGTCGGCGCCCTGCACCTTGACCGACAGGTCTCGCGGCAGAGCAGCGTAGGAGCCAAAGTGCGACAGCACAATCTTGATGTCGAGCGGATGCAGAAAGATGTTTTGGCCAGATGCTGCCTGGAAGAAGAGGTAGCTCGACGAGCTCGGCGCCGGCGGGTTGACATTCTTGCGCTGGTGGTGGTGCGGCCGGGCCGAGGTGCGCTGGTCGCCCTTTGTCGACGACTGACCGTCTGACTCGGCGGAGACTGCGGCCGTGTTGGCGGCGTTGGGCGCAGGCGCGGGAGAGGCATTCTGGTAGCTGCCGCCGTACGCCTGCGATCTGATCGCCAGGAACTCCTCGGCGCCTTCGGCTGTCTCGGGCGCGCCGTCCCCGCGATCGTTGTCGTCGGTGTTGGCCTGGGAGCCAGACGTGTTGGCCTGGGAGCCAGACGTGTTGGCCTGGGAGCCAGACGCGGCCGGTTCGACGGCGACGGCGTTTCCTGCGCCCGCAGCGCCCTCAGCCTCGGCGGAGGGGCCGTCGTCGGCCGTGTGGCTGCGTTCGAGCTTCTTTCTCTGCCTGCGGCTGAGCTGTTCGTCGAGCTTCGAGATCCTGCCCGACTCGACGGCCTCGTGGTCCTTGAGATCGTTTTTAATCTGGCCAATTGTGCTGCGGACGAACGCTGTGTCGAGCTCGGTCTGCACCTTGACGATCTGCTCCTTGACTTTCCTCTCTGCGAGGCGGACAAATTCGAGGCTGACCTCGTCGGCGCCAAAGCCCTTGAGCGTCTCGAGCTCGTTTTCGAGGTGGACCAGGTCGCCAGTCAGCGACTCGATGAGCAGGTCGGGCGAGGCGAGCATAAACTTGGCAAAGCCCATGACGTCCGGCTGGAAGTGCCACGGTGCCGAGTGGAGCGGGATGAGCGGGTGGTCGAGGTTGGACGTGGGCCAGGTCGACGACTGAGGCAGGGCGAGTGTGGTTAGGTGCGGCCGTTCGATGAGCCTGAGGGCGAGCACCTCTTGCCGCGAACCGGTCGCCGCGTGTGCTGCAGCGGACGTCGAGGCTACGGCAGCATCACCGACGGCACCGCCGCCGCTCGTGGCCGAATCCTGCGGCTGCCGACTCGAGCGCAGCGCCTCTAGCCGCTGTTGCTCCTCGTGCACCTCTGCCTGATGCTGCTGCGCCACTGCGCGGGGATCCCACCACTTGACGGCCTTGAGGTCGCGCGCGTAGACGGCGTCCCAGCAGATGGGGCAGCGGCGCCACTTGTGGCTCGGAGCGTTGCCGCCCGTCGAACCACCAGCGGCGTTGCCGTCGGCGAGGGTGAGATAATGGAGGATGCAGGGGTAGCAGAAGACGTGTCCGCACTTTGTCATGCGGGGCGCGGTCGGGGGCGATAGGCAGATGGGGCAGGCAGCGCCCTCGTGGGTGCCCGGTAAGGGCTGGTCTTGCTGGGGCAGGGCGGCTGCGCTCGCGCCCGAGAGGGCCGACGTGGTGGGGATGAGGACCTGGAGGATGTCGGGCCAGTGTAGGTAGATGTCCGAGTCGGCAAAGTAGGCGGTGTAGTCGCCGGTGGGCTTGACGAGGAAGCGGTACTGGGCGTTGATGTAGCGCTCCTTGTTGAAGGGGACGCCTGCGCCGGCGCGCCTTGAGCGGCGCGAGACGGGGGCGGGAGGGCGAGCGCGCGGGGGCAGGGTGAAGGAGAGGAGGTGGTTCATGCTCTGTGCGCCGCCGCGCTTGGCGGTGGCTGCCTGGGTGGCGCGGGTGTCGCCATGGTTGGTGTTGTTGCGGGGAGCTCTGTGCTGGTTTTGTTGGGCCTGGCGTGCGGGATTTGGGTTTGGCTTGTTGCTACCATTGGTGGGCATGGAGGCCATGGTATGTCCGAGTGCGCTCATGCAGAAGGACGGTAGAAGACGAGGGGACAAGGCAGGGCAGTCTAGGGGGATGAGGCGCGGGGAAGGGAGTTGTAGTCGTGCGAGTGCCAAGGAAGCGGTTGGGATGCGGGGCAGGTGCGAGTGCGTGGCGTGAGCAGATGCGATGTGCGAGACTGGCGAATGCGACGAATAGAAGATGTGTGCTGTAGCGGAGATGTGATTAAGCGGGCAGGGGTTGGCGAAGGCGAGCAGCAGCGGTGCGTCGCCACAGGCGCTCGTGGGGATGTCGAGCGGTGCGCGGACGAGTGGGAGGCGCCGAGGGGATGCGCTATTCGGCCAGGCTGTGAAGGTGGCTGCGACGGTGTTGGATTGGCGTGTGGTTGTTGTGCGGTGGCGGTGGCCGGTGCGGCGCGGTGGTGGTAGTGGTGGTGGTGGTGGCAGGGAGCGATTGCGAGAGAATCGGGGTCGAGTTGCGATGGCTCGCCACCGCGGCTGGCTGGCTGCGCTGCCAGGAGGCCCTCTGTTCGACGTCGGTCTTTTTGCCCTGCGTGGCCCTCTCTTTGGCTGGCCTCGCTGCGCCGCTGCCCCGCTGCCTGCCTCAGCTCCGAAGGGAAAATGAGGGGCACGTGCAGCCAGCGCTGCCCAAGTGGAGGTTGCCAGGTCGGGTGGGCGGATGCGCTTTTGGCCCGACAGCCGGATGGGGCGGGGCGTCCTCCTCGTCCTCCTCGTCCTCCTCGTCCTCGTCCTCATTCCTCGCACCACCACCATCTCGACCCCACCTTTGAATCTTCTCTCCCTCCACGACCATGTCCCTGCGCAACGTGAGCGTGCTGTACCACGACGTGTTCGGCACCGTCGTCGACTGGCAGTCCTCGATCTCGGACGCCTGCCGCGCCACACTGCGCGCCCACCCGTGCCGCTCCCCCCTCGACCAGCAACAGCTGCTCGACGACTACGACTGGGACGAGTTCACGCGGCACTGGCGCAGGGGATACATGGTCACCACCCGCCAACTATCCCACACCGGCAATCCGCACGGAATCACCGTCGACCAGATCCACCTCGATACCTTGGACCGTCTCATCCACCGCCTCCCTCCGCCTCCGCCCTCGTCCTCCCGCCCTCCTTCACTCGACGCCGATCGTCTCGCCAGCCTCTCCCTCGCCCTCGCAGACGCCTGGGACGCAACGACGAGGCAGCACCTCAACCAGCGCTGGCACACCCTCACGCCCTGGCCCGACTCGGTACACGCCCTCCGCCGTCTCGCCGCCCACTTCGCCATCGGCACCCTCACCAACGGCAACCTCGCCCTCATGGTCGACATGGCTCGCAGCGCCCGTCTCCCCTGGCACTTTATCCTCACCGCAGATACCCTCGGATCATTCAAGCCGGATGACCGCATGTACACCTCCGCCCTCAGACTCATGCACCTCGACCAGACACCTCAGCGTGGCGCCCTCGTCGCCGCCCATGTGCGCCAGTACACCCTGCCCCTGCCCCAGCTCGATGGCCTACTCGCAGCGACCTGACCACGCGTCTCCTTCTCCCTTCCATCCCGACGATTCGATCCAACCCATCTCGACCACAGCTCTTCGACCTGGAAGCAGCAAAGCGAAACAGGATGACAACCATCTTTGTCTCGGGCCGACCCACCGAAGACTCGCTACCGCACGACGGCACCGTGCCAGATTACATCGACGTCGGTAGCTCCTGTGCCCGCGCATCCAGCCCCCGCTCCCCCGCCCGCCAGCTGACAAAACACCTCGCCCTAACCCTCGCCCTCGTTCCGTTGCAGATCGTCGTACGAGATCTCGACGAATTGGCACGCCTTGCACAGGACACCCTGGCCCCGTAGGGTCGCGCCAGAATGAATTAGGATCCCTTTCGAGCGATATGGTTCCACATGGTGGAGACGGGCGAGGGATGCGGATAGGGGTACAGGGGGATGCGTGCCGGGAAGGGAACAGCGAGAATTTCAAGGGGAAGATGCTTCTATGCTATGTCAGTGGTCGAATGGTTGTCTGTCTGTGCGGGGGCTATGTCGTTGGTCGCTTTCTGGAGGCGAGATCGGCTAGAGGCGCCGGATCCTCTTCGGCCGACTGCCTATAATAATGGTGGTGATGCTTTGAGTCGGTGCGATTCTGCGTGCCCTGCAATTCTCTTCTTCCCTCGACTCCAACGATCTTCGAACGGCGACCGACGACGCCTCTTGCCGGCCCGGCCCGGCCCGGCCCGCGCTACGACCTCTTGCCGCCCAGCTGGGCCCTCTTGATCCTCACGAGCTCCTCGAGGCGCTCGCACACCTGCGTCATCGACGGCCGCTCCTTTGCCGAGTGGTGCCACATGGCGTCGAGCAGGTCGACAATCTCGCCGCCAAACTGGCGCCGGATGGCGCCCGTATAGGGCCGGATCCGCTTCTGCCCGACGTCCTGGTAGATCTGGTGCTCGTTCATGCCCTGGAACGGGTACTTTTTCTCGGCCTGGTGCCACTGGAGCGTCTCCCAAAAAGTCATGGCCGCGCTCCACACGTCGACCTTTTCGTTGTAGTGCGGCTTGGGCACCCACAGCTCCGCCGCCTGCCAGTTGACGGTGCCCACCAGCGAGCGCATCATCGACCGCTGCGTGTTCTTGACCTTGGCCAGCCCAAAGTCGTTGATCTTGGCCGTCCGGTTGCGCGTGATGAGCACGTTGGTCGACTTGCAGTCGCGGTGGATAATGGCCGGCGTCCGCGTGTGCAGGTACTCGAGCCCGCGCGCCGTCTCGAGCAGGATGCGGAACACCTCGTCGTCGCTCGGCGGCGCCGTGTTGCGGATGTAGTCGAACAGGTCGCCGTTGACGCACAGCTCGCTGACAATCATGCACGGAACGCTGGTGCGCGGGTCGTCGGGGATGCTGACGCCAATGAACCGCACAATGTTTTCGTGGCGCAGATCGCGCAGCAGGCTCAGCTCCTTGATGTCCATCTCGGTCAGCTGGTCGCGGATGTCGGCGATGGCCACCCGGTTGACGCGCGTCTTGGAGATCCGGTAGCGCCCGACGTAGACGTCCTTGAAGCCGCCGGAGCCAATCTTTTCCAGCTTCTCGAGCTTGCTCGGCGGAATCTCCTTGTCCTGCAGGTCCAGGCTCTCGAGGTCGAGTCCGTTGAGCTCGTCGACGCCGTCGCCCGCGCCCGCCGCGTTGGCCTCGTCGTTGTGGCTCGTCAGCGGAGGCGTCGGCAGCTTGCTCGACTCGACCTTGTCCGCCTTGGCCCGCAGCAGCAGCGGCACCTCGCTCTCGGTCGGCTGCGCGGCGCCCTTGCCGCCGGCGGCATCGCCACGCGTTCGGGCCTGCTTCCGCGTGCGAGGCGTGGCCGCATCGTCGACGTCTGAGCCCTGCCTGGCCGTCGAAGCCGACATGTCCGACTCGGCGTCCGACTCGCC